TGCCTTCTAGGGCTAAGAAGAGTCCTTGAGTCAAATACACACCGATCTATTGACTCCAGGGCAGTGAGGAAGGAACCTGGAGCCAGACGGCCTGCCTTTCCCAGCTCTCCCAGCTTGAGCAAATCACTTAATCTTTCTGTACATGTTTTCTCCCCTGAAAAGTAGGGCTAGCATCTACCTCATCAAATTAAATGAGTTAATACATGGAAAGCGCGAGAACAATGCCTGGCACATGGTAAGTACTCAGTAAATGTTGGCTATTTGTTTAGTACTGAGCATAGGGAAAACCAACTTTCAGGTGCAGATACAGAGATAAATAGAACAAGGTGAATAAAGGAGGGAATACTTGAACTCCTTCTTGGAGGGAAAAAGGGAGGTTCACCAAGCAGATGGAGAAGGGCCAGGCCAAGCAGATGGTACAAGTGAAGGCACAGAATGATTAAACTCAATGGTGTATCTGGGGAACTGTAAATAATTCATTAGAGCTGGATTAAGAAGCGTGTCAGAATGAGGGGAGAGAAGCCTCAGGATTTACTGACCAAACCCACATGATGGGAAGGAAGGAAGGCAGAAGGCAGGTTTCTGGATTGACTGTGATGCCATTAACCCGAAACAAATTATAGGAGGTGGTGTGGGTTTTGACTCGATGTGTTTGGTTTTGGACATACAGTATGTGAGGGGACTTTGAGACCCAAGCAGAAATGTACAATTGGATGAATAAATTTGGGGCTTTACAAGAGCATTTTGGTAAGCATACAGTGCAGGGAACCATCAGGGTTACTGACTGTGGTAGCCATGAACTTGGCTGACACTGTCAAGAACCGGTGTAGAGAAGAGAACAATGTAGGGTACAGTGGCATCGGAGGGCAGTTGGAAGAGAGGGGGCCAGAGAGAAGAAATAAAGAGAACCAGGAGAACACGGGACCCTGGAAGAAACCAAAGGGGAAAAGAGTTTCACATCAATTAGGATGTTTTTGACGGAAAATGACACAAAACTTAAACTGGTTTAAATTCTCAAGATTTATTGGCCCATACAACTGAAAACACAAGCCTCAAGAGGGTCACCCATAAGCCCGGGTGAGGAATTCTTACCATCAACACTTCGCAGTTATATTGAGTGCTACTATGTGCTGGCACTGTTCTAGTCAATGAACAAAACAGGCAAAATCCCTCCTCTTTGGACTGTACATACAAATGCTTCTTGTTATCTCTCTCTCTCTCTTTGCATTAAAATGCAAATACGATACCTCAAATTAGGAAAACTGTGTAGAGGGAGATGAAGAGAGAAAACTTCAGAATACTATGCAAAGTTCAAAACATTTGCTGGGAGCATAACGCCTTTTTGTTGGAATGTCTGAACTTCTGCACTAAGTGATAATGGAGGTATGAAAGCAGTTCACTATGGATATGAAACTCTAAAATCCAAAATACCACCAATGATATGTTTTAAAGCCCAGTTTAATGTCACCGTTTTTAACTTATCAAAGTTGCTGGGTTCACTCAGATACCTGTAAAAATAATTACATTTTTCAAATATCCCCAGTGGGGCTTTGTTACTAACTGAATTGTATGGCAATATGTTTTACATGTAGGTCATGTCCAAACCTGCATTGCTACATTCATATTTTAATTAAAAGTACATAGTTTGCAATAAAAGGAAACCTCACTCAGCCATTATATCCAACTAAGGTAAGCACTATCCGTTTCTCAAATCAGTGTCTCTTCTGCAATGCCTTAGTTTACTCAGACACTTATAACTCAATTTAGACTACAGCAACCAGTCTTTCTGACTCGACTAGTAACCTACATATCCATCCTCCTCATGGCCACCAATGTGATTTTGCCAAAATGAAGATGAGTCCTTTGTTCTTATCATGTCTTGCACCCAACAGGTTCTCCATAAATTTTGCATGGAACGGGGTGCAGATTCTAGCCTGAGCTCTGAAGCTCAGAGCTTGGTGTATCCGTGTATTGCTTCATCTTGCTGGGCCTATTTTCCATTCTCTAATTTGGAAATGATAAAACCTACCCCATTAGGTTTTTGGCAAATAAAATACTACTATATGATTGAACTCTGTGAATTCAAAAGCACTACACAGCATTAAGGGTTAAGATTAGAAGCAAGTCCAAGTAATAGTATCTTAATGGCTACAAAGCAGGGTAAATTTTCTCAGTAATGTTCTTTGATTCCAGTTTTCCATAAAACTCTATAAAGTTATTTATACTTTGAATTTTAAAATATGGCCCACGAATGCTTAGTTCTTTTCTCAAATTTTGTCTTTGCGCAAAAGAAGTCCTTCATGCCTGATGTGACCTAACTTCCTTATCTTAAAGATGAGGAAACAATCAGAAATATCAAGTGACTTGATTTCCTAAAAAGGAAGCAACTTGGATAGAGGATTTTCTGAATCTTCATGGATTTTTAGAAGATCCTTTTCCACTGGGTTTTCACTACCTGAACCAAACAGCGCCTTATCTACAGTACCCACATGGACACTTAGACATGTTCCCAGGACATCTCTGAAGAGGGGAAAAAAATCCATTCTCTAATGTGGTGATAGATGTAGAGTGACATGAAAGTCCATTTTCCAACCAGGGATATTTCTGCAGAAGGTGAAGCAATCCATAAGCAAGTTCATTTCCCCTTCTGTTACTTGGCCATACTTTGAAAAGAAACCAAGATACGAATGGCTGAGTGAGACTGCCACAAAATATTTAGCCTCCTTCTTCCTAAATTCTCTCTCCCACTCCTAAATGAAAACTGGCTTGACCTGTACTCACATAGGCGTACATCTTCCAGCAGTTGCTCAATAATCTCACAAGTGTAGCAACTACCTTTCCTGTTTAAAATATCAGAATATTTACCCCCTCCAAGGAAGTGGTATTTTGTTTCTCCCCTTCCCAGTTCTGCTACCTTCTAGAAAAGAGGCTCAAAGCACCACTAGAGACCAATCTAGTGATCTTTTGTTCTCTGCCACAAACTGATTGATACAAGATAGGAGTTGAAACAATGAGTGGTAAAAAGAGGTTAAAAAGATTTTCAGACAGCGGCTTGCCGGTGTTTTTTTTCTTGTATGAGGTGCATTTTCATGCTAGTTTTTAAAATCTTGTAATATTTCAGTAACTTCCGAGATATCTGTTCCATCAATACATTCATGCAGCCTATAGGTTTTTCCAGATTTGGGAATCACAACCTCATATTTCCATTTGTCACATTGGACTCATGCTTTACCAGCTGATGCCACTCCCTAGTACATGATACCACTGCCCTCCCAATTATTCACGTACAAAGATTTCAACCTTAAAAAGTTTCTTGATTTATCAATTACTTCAACTTTGGGATTCAGATACTTGTAAACCTAGAGGATAAGCAGCTGTAGAACTGCATTTGTAAGTTTAAGATACAGTGGAAGCCACCATACTCATGTCCCTTCCTCAATCCACAAACACTATGACTGGTACACTTTTAATGACTTTTACAAACTTTAATCTACTTGATTCATGTTCTCAACAAATTTTATAGTTTTTCAAATGTTGGTTTCCAGTAATGGGGAAAACAATCAGACTGGGGGTTTTTAAAAACTGAATAATGTCCTGTAATTAACTCTTGTCTCTTAAAGGCATGTAAGAATCATGGAAAGACTGACGCAGTATATAACCTCTTTTATCTTTCAAAATGTTACAAATAACTTCACTGCATTTTGGACTGCAGAAGTCAAATCTAAGATTACAGTCTTCCTAAATACCCCTCGTTGATTTTATTACTATATGCAAAGCATTAAAATAGGAGCTGGGGGCTTCCCTGGTGGCGCAGTGGTTGAGAGTCCGCCTGCCGATGCAGGGGACACGAGTTCGTGCCCTGGTCCAGGAAGATCCCACACGCCGCGGAGTGGCTGGGCCCGTGAGCCACGGCCGCTGAGCCTGCGCGTCCGGAGCCTGTGCTCTGCAATGGGAGAGGCCACAACAGTGAGAGGCCCGCGTACCGCAAAAACAAAAAACAAAAACAAAAAAACAGGAGCTGGATAGAGAAAACACATAGGCGTAGGGTTGCCAGACAAAATATAAAATGCTCAGTTAAATTTGAATTTCAGATAAATTTTTACTATAAGTATTTCTCAAATATTGCATATACTAAAACATCATTTGTTGTTTATCTAAAATTCAAAGTTAACTGGATATCCCGTAATTTCATTTGCTACATCTAGCAACTCTTTGTAGATCCTTATCTTTGGCAAGCTTACTATTTAACAGGGAAATCAGTGATCACAATGTAAGGCATATATGATAAGTGCAGTAATATAATCAGGGGAGAAGATCTCTATTGATTACCACAGAAGAGTACCTGGAAGAGATGGCAACTACAGTTCCTAAAATATGACTTTTTTTTTTCCAGTAATGTTTTCAATGGTCTTCAGGCCGTATGGATCATTACAGAAATAAGGAGGGCAGAGGAGTTTCCTCCTGAGCGAAGATGACTAAATTCTGATTGGCAGAGAGGTGGTTTAGTGTGATATTTTTGGAGTTCAAGTGTCCTGAGTTAAATCTCAAATTCATTGCTCACTAGCTGTGTAACCGTGGATAAATTAATCTCTATTATAAAATGAGGCTATTAATACCCGCTTTATTAGGCTGAGGATCAGAGATAATATATGCACAAAGCACTTGGAACACAGGAGGCACTCCCTAAATGGTAATACCCACTATCAGAATGTCACATGGCAAAGAGGGTACTTGTCACAAATATTCATGTTAATGTTATGCAGTAATAGTAATATTGGTAATTTTATTTCCACGATCTATTTACACTGTACAAACACTGCTGAAAAGCACCCTACAAGTTCACAGTACAATATATTTACTTTAAAAATATACTCCTTTATAAAAGGTTCATAGAACATTGGCATGTCAACATGGGATGAAACTCAAAGCATGTCACCAATTCTGTGGTAGCAAGAATACTTCCAAGTGTTGTCAATTTCACAATCACAAGTCACCATTTGAGTTTTAAATACATATAAGTTTTAAATAAAAAATGAATTCTACAGTGGAAGGTTCCTGCACCAATACTCATTAGCTAATTAACATATACTTTCATGGAGATGTTGTTTCATAATAATTTACAATATCAATTTAATCTGCCAAAAAAACTCATTTCAACAAAGTTTCACAGTCCAAAAATTCTTGTCAATTGTTTTCTACTTTTTCTTCTTTGTTGGTTCTCCCGGTTCTATTTTGCGCTTTTTAGAAGTATGTTCTTCTTTTTCATCATCTTTAAATAGGAAAGGAAGAGTTTCAATCAGTAATTTTAAAAAAATATTATGCATTAAAATTTCATTGACTCTATACCAAAATCATTATCCTCAACTAATGTTTCTTTCAAAGTTTTCCAATAAAAAACACAAAAATAACTTTCAGAACTCTGATTTTAAATTGCAAGTAAAAATAAGGAATTTTTTCAAATGTAGTGTTATACAAAATCTACAGTGATCCTTTAGTGCTATATTAAGGTAGCTTAAAATGAGAAAATCAAAATTTGTTCTGATAAAGCTATTCTCAAATATTCTACAGTATATACATGGTGGATATTTAAATATATAATCTACACGTTAAGAATGGAACACATTCCGTTCTTTTTTTTTTTTTTACAAAAGATGTCAATTTAACCATGACATTATGTGTCTATCAGCTAGTCTTTCTCCTCCAATCTGCTTTCCCTCCCCCACAAACACCTCCCCCCATCTCATCCCCCCAGCCCCAGCCCCACACGTGCATTTTGAAGTTAAAAAGGCTCTCACAAGTAGATGTTTCACTGAAACTGTATTTTCAATTTTGTCCTATGTAGGTAGTTCCACATTCTCCCCCATTCCTAGGATGGTCAGAATATTCCAATGGCAAGAGAAAAACAGACTTCTTCCCCCGCTTCATATTATGGAGAATTTGTGGGGGAGGGGAGAAGAACCTCAAATTAAAACCATGTCCTTCACACTTTTCTAAAATATTATTAGTATCTGTAGTCACAGAAAATTTCCAATTAATAAATAAAAATATTGTAAACCCTGAAACAATGGGCCCTTTTATTCAATTAAAACAATCCAACTACATGTTTCAACAAAACACAGGGTAGCACAGAGCAGCTGCTAATCCCCATCTCTCTGAACAAATGCATGGCATTATTTTAAGAACTCCATGTAGATGGAATACATAACATGTACAAGATGTTATGATTTATAAAATACAAATTTATTTTAAGCACATTACTGAATTCATTGTACTTTCTCAATCAACAGATAGTCAAAGTTCAATAACTACCATATGGTGGCCTATAAAATATTTTGATGTTGAAAGGGGACTTCATATTAAAAAATTTGGGAAGCCATTGATATCAGAACATAAACTTTTCTTTCTCATTTCAACGTCCCTTTTATTAACAGTCAAAAAAACAAACAATGCCAATTTTATTGTTATTACTTAACACTTCACATTACAAAAGGACTTTACAGCCATGTTTTACACGTTATTTCTCGATATTCTTCTGATAGAGACTGGGGACCTCTGTCCTATTCTTTTTTTTTATTGGATTATAATTGACACACAATATTAAGTTTCAGGTGTATAAACAAAGTGATTCGGTATTTTTATATATTATGGAATGATCACTGCAATAAGTCTAGTTACCATCTGTCACCATACAGAGTTATCACAATCTTATTGACTATATTCTCTACGCTGTATATTACATCCCTGTGCCTTACTTATTGTATAGCTGGAAGTTTGTTCCTCTTAAACCCCTTCACCTACTTCACCTGTCCCCCAACTCCTTCCCCTCTGGCAAACACCAGTTTGTTCTCTGTTATCAATGAATCTATTTCTCTTTTGTTTGTTCATCTGTTTTGTTTTTCAGATCACGAACTCATTATGGGAAAAATAAACTTAAAACCTTAAGCCTTCAATTCCCTCCTGCTAACTACCAGACGCAGAATATTTCCTTTGTCGATGTGGACAACAATTAGTATCAACAGCAGGTAATGCATCTTCAAACACAGCATAGTGATGTTATTCATATACTTCATAGAGCACTACAGATTTATGTAGCCAGTATGATAAAATACAACTCAGGTCAACAAATCACCCCAGGAATTTACAAAGCAAAGTTTTAATCATTAGTTTATCATGTATACAAAAAAAGACTTGTTCTACAAACCAAGTGATGAGGCACACAGTTTAAACAAGCCAAGGCCTTTGTTTTTTAATTGGTGCTTAATTATCATCATGCTTGACTTCTGAGATTATTTTCAGTAGTAATATAAAAACTGAAATTACTTTCTAACTCTACTAGAAAATGCACTGTTAACATATATTAAAAAGACCATCCTGAGACACTTCTGCTTTTAATCTGTCACTTATTACAAGTTCATTTACTGAATAACAACAAAAACAGAAACTACTGAGGTTGGAAAAATAACTTCCTACCAGTCACTGAATAGAAGAGCTAATGCCATCTAGTGATATAACAAGGCATTGTCTTAAAAAAAAAAATCTTGAAATGTTCGATCATCAACTTTACTGAGCTTCTTACTCTGTGCCATATACTACAGATGCACTTGTAAGGAAACAATTTTTATATTATGGAATTCATGTCACTTGAGGTAAACAAGCTTAAATTATTAATAGAAACTAAGGTTCTAAATTCTTAAAAAAAGCATTACTTTAGTTAGACCTTCAAGATTAATTACATATTAATTAAGCTACAATAAATATCTAAGCCTTAATCATCTACATTTTACAACCACTAAACAAGTATTGATAAGTAGTAAGGATTTATGATGAGTTTTGAATTTTTCCCAGCTTCCTTATCTGGAAGGAGTTAAGTGGCAAAAAAGGCCAAAGGGCAGAAAATGAGAAGGAAAAATAAAATCAAAGTAATCTTATATTTAAGAGTGTGGAGCTTCTGTGACTTCCCTGGTGGCGCAGTGGTTAAGAATCCGCTTGCGGGGGCTTCCCTGTGGCGCAGTGGTTCAGAGTCCGCTTGCCGATGCAAGGGACACGGGTCTGTGCCCCGGTCCGGGAAGAACCCACATGCCGCCAGAGCGGCTGGGCCCGTGAGCCATGGCTGCTGAGCCTGAGCGTCCGGAGCCTGTGCTCCGCAACGGGAGAGGCCACAACAGTGAGAGGCCCGTGTATCGTCAAAAAAAAAGAAAAGAATCCGCTTGCCAACGCAGGGGACACGGGTTCGAGCCCGGTCCGGGAAGATCCCACATGCCGTGGAGCAACTAAGCCCGTGCGCCACAACTACTGAGCCTGCGCTCTAGAGCCCGCGAGCCACAACTACTGAAGCCTGTGCGCCTAGAGCCTGTGCTCTGCAACCAGAGAAGCCACCGCAATGAGAAGCCCTCTCGCAGCAACTGGAGAAAGCCTGCGCACAGCAACGAAGACCAAGCGCAGCCAAAAATAAACTAATTAATTAGAAAAAAAAAGAGAGCAGATTGCTCCATCTCCTATTGAAAAACAAAAAAAAAGTGGAGCTTCTAATACAAGATATTTTATGAATTAAAAAAAGGGGTTCTAATACTCCAATAAAGATGTTAAAAAAAAGGGTTTACAAAAAGATGTTGGGAAATCGATCTGTGAACACAGTATGGGAGTTTGAAATGGCAAAAATCACTTCTAAGAAGAAAGGTATTCATTACAAAAAGAAGATAGTTACATTCAACAACCAACATTAAAGTCAAAATTGAAGATTTCAGTATTATCTTTTAACCTTATGATCCAGCTTTAAGCTGGCTGAGCACTGGGGTCCTTTTGTTTTTTGATATTGCCAACATCCACTTTCTAATGGAGGACCATCATATGATCAAAAGGTCAGAAATTACCTATGGGAATAGCAGCATCCTCTCACACATATTTCCTGCTATCTGAACTTAAAAGGCAAGCTGGAAAAAAAGATAATTCTTTCTACTTGCTTGTCCTGGTATATAAACCTTGCCTTTTCCACATAAGAACACAGATAGGTGAGCACCAGCCTATGACACCCTAGACTGAATATCAACTCAGTGGCCTTATTGCCATTCTTCCCACAGGACAGCTACTCCTCAAGCACTCTCGCTTGCAAAACATCAAGAGACTAAACCCCAGTTTAATATGGCACCATTTCCATTTAAAGATCTGAATCTGAATTCCTATTCTGCCTCTTCCTAGCTGTGTGAATTTGGGCAATTCTTTAATCTGAGATTGTCTTCTTGTCTACAAAACAGTAATAATGAATCATGTACCACTTCTGTACTAGGTTGCTAAGAGTAACAAATTAGAAAAGCTGTGTGAAGGTACGTTTTAGAGCTCGGCATTTTCTAGTTTTGTGATCTTGGACAAGTCACATAAGCTCTCATTTTGACATTTCCCTATCTGGTTTCACAAGGTGTTGTAAGAATTAAATGTAATTTATGCAAAAGTGATTTTTATTAATTATATAGACACTATAAAATAGGAGGTATTTTTAATGTCCACTTCATTTGGCATGTCCAAAAAGATGCCATTTGCTGAAGAGGTACCTTCGCTAGTGACTTCTAATTCACACTGGGAAGTCAGTGAAAGAAATGGGAAAGCCAGGTAGAATCAAAACTGGAGAGTAATATCCTTTATAGAAAAAAAAGGATACACTTCAGAACGTGTATTGCATTTAATTGTCACATCTCTTTAGTGTCCTGTAGTCAAAAATGTTTCCTCAATCTTTCTTTGACTTTCATGACCTTGATACTTTTGAAGATTCAGCTAGTTATTTTGTGGAATATCCCTCAATTTGGGTGTGTTTGTGTTCAG